ATGTTTTATAAAGTTGTAACAAGACTTCCTTGCTCCAATACTCTATGCACCGACAATAGGAAGGCAAACATCCGTCCCCGCAATAACAACCAAAAAAGAATCCCCCTCGTCCTCACGTACCACCCCACCAACCTCCGGATCCAACGCATCATCCTCCGACACTTCTGCCATCTGCAATCCGACCCCACCACTAAAGACATTTTTCCCTCCCCACCCTTATCTGCCTTCCGGAGGTACCACTCTCTCCGTGACTCCCTTGTCCGCTCCACACTCCCCTCCAGCCCCACCACACCCGGCACTTTTCCCTGCAACCGCAAGAAGTGCTACACCTGCCCCCACGTCTCCTCCTCCCTCACCCCCATCCCAGGCCCCAAGAAGACTTTCCACATCAAGCAGATGTTCACCTGCACATCTGCTAATGTGGTATACTGCATCTGCTGTACCCATTGTGGCATCCTCTACATCGGGGAAACCAAGCGGAGGCTTGGGGACCGCTTTGCAGAACACCTACACTCGGTTCGCAATAAACAACTGCACCTCCCAGTCGTGAACCATTTCAACTCCCCCTCCCATTCCTCAGACGACATGTCCATCCTGGGCCTCCTGCAGTGCCACAACGATGCCACCTGAAGGTTGCAGGAACAGCAACTCATATTCCGCTTGGGAACCCTGCAGCCCAATGGTATCAAGGTGGATTTCACAAGCTTCAAAATCTCCCCTCCCCCTACCGCATCCTAAAACCAGCCCAGCTCGTCCCCGCCTCCCTAACCTGTTCTTCCTCCCACCTATCCCCTCCTCCCACCTCAAGCCACACCCCCATTTCCTAGCTACTAACCTCATCCTGTCCCCTTGACCTGTCCGTCCTCCCTGGACTGACCTACCTCCTCCCTACCTCCCCGCCTACGCTCACCTTTACTGGCTCCATCCCCGCCTCTTTGACCTGTCTGTTTCCTCTTCACCTATCTTCTCCTCCATCCATCTTCTATCTGCCTCCCCCTCTTTCCCTATTTATTTCAGAACTCCCTTCCCCTCCCCCATTTCTGATGAAGGGTCTAGGCCCGAAACGTCAGCCTTCCTGCTCCTATGACGCTGCTTGGCCTGCTGTGTTCATCCAGCTCTACACCTTGTTATCTCAAACATTCTGTATGCCTTCTTCACCACCCTGTCTACCTGTACTGACACCTTTAGCAATCTGTGGACTTGTACACCAAGGTCCTTATGTTCCTCAGTACTCCCTAGGGACTTACCATTCATTGTGTATATCCTTTCCCTATTAGCGCTCCTAAATTGCATCACCTCACACTTATTGGAATTAAACTCCATATGCCATTGCTCTGCCTAATTTAACACCTGAACAATATCAGGCTGTAGTCTGGGACTATCCTCCTCACTATCAACAACACCACCAATTTTCACATCATCTGCAAACTTACTAATTATACCTTCTGTATTCACATCTAAGTTGTTAATGTACATAACAAACAATAAGGGCTTTCAGCACTGATCCCTATGGTACACCACTGATCACAGGCTTCCAATCACAAAAACAACTTTTCACCTATTTGTAAGCAATTTTAGATCCACTTTACCAACTTGCTGAGGATCCCGTGGACTCTTGCCTTTTGGACCAGCCTTTTATGTGGGACCTTGTCAAATCAACATTTAGTCAACTTTTCAAACAATTCAAATTAGTCAGACAGGATCTCACTCTTAGATCTATGCTGACTATCCCTGATCAATCCTTGCCTTCCTGGGTACTGATTAATCGCGTGCTTCAGAATTTTTTTCCAATAATGTCCCTACCACTGACATCAGACGAACTGGTCTGTAATCACCTGGCTTATCTCTGCAGCCCTTCTTGAATAAAGGTACCAGATTAGCTATCCTCCAGTTATCTGGTACTTCACCTGTGGCAGTGAAGTATTAAATATATCCACCAAGACCCAGCATTCTCCTCTTTTGAGTCCCATAGCTGCCTAGGATGCATCTCATCAGCCCCTGGGGATTTATGCATCTTTAGGCCCACTAAAACATCTAATACCTCCTCCTTATTAATCTTAAAGCATTTGAGAATCTCATCATCCCAACTAAAATCCCTGGCAAAAATGTTTTTCTCCTTTTTGAATACAATTGAGAAGTATTCATTTAAGATCTCACTGACTCCACGAACAGGTTGACCCTTAGGTCTCTAATAGGTCCCACTCTCTCCTGGTAATCCTCTTACTCTTAATAAAAAAAAAGCTTTAGCATTTACCTTGATCCCATCTGCCAAAGATATTTCATTGCACCTCTTTGCCCTCTCCCACACTGTATATACTTCTGAAGGGCATCCTCTACTTTTAATGTGCTATACCTGGCATTGGCTTCCTTTTATCCTATATCAAACTCTCGGTATCCCTTGGCATCCAAGGTTCCCTGGACGTGCTGCTCTTCACTCTTTGAGGAACATGCTAGCCCCGAATTCCTACTGTACTTATTTCCAAAGACTCCAATGTAAGCAATACCAGACAAGGGTGACCGATTATCTTCCCTACAAAGGCATTTGTAAACCAGATGGGTTTTTACAACATTGATGGTAGTCACGGTCACCATAACTGAGATGAGCTTAGTATTTCAGATGTATTCATTAAAAGCTGCCATGTTAAGATTTGAATTCATCTCCTTAGAGGATTAATCTGACTTCTCAATCACTAGTATGAACACTAGCCTTTATCCCTACCTTGCCCAGCACCCCCAGCTTCTTGAACCTGGTTCTTGCACTCCCCTGGGACAGAGGGTTGAGCTTTTCAGTGCGGTGCAAGTGCCTTTATTTAACTACAGAACCACCTGTCATCAATTGGCTGGCTAGTCTCTAAAAGTAGAACATCCCCGGAAGGTGTAGAGGTCTTGCAATAAACAAAAACATTCTTCCCATTAAGCTTGTGGATTGGCTCTCTTTCCTTCCCCCACCTCCCAAAAAAATGTGACGGGAGGGGAGACACAGAAAGGCAGAGAGAACCTTAGCATCCCTAAAATCCAGGCCCATGTTCCTCGGTTTCATTTGCCTTGATGTCTTTATAAAATCAAAAATCTCATTGGTTTTGAAGAGGTCTTCAGATTTTAACTACCCTGGTGTGAGTAAATGTATTGTCTTTGCACTTTGAAATAGCTGATCTTGAATTATACATTATGTATTTCCACCAGAGGAAACAGTTCATCTGTGTCTACTCCAATGCTTTCCTTTATTATTTTAAGTTTAATTAAATCTTTAATTAGATCACCCTAGAATCTTTTAAGTCAATACAAAACAATGTTGTTCAGCCCATCTTTAAACTGTAACCTCCTAATGCAAAATATCATTTTGGTAAGCCTAAACTGTACCAATAAATGTTCACGGAGCTGTGACTAATTAATCACAGTACTCCAGAGGAGGTTTAACAACTGCTCTGTGCAGCTGAAGCATTAATTTCTCACTTTTGCATTCCAGTTCTTTCAGATAAATAAACATTAGTCTTGCATCCTTTCCTGTTCATTCTCAATTTTGCTTGCCAACACTGAATTACTGCGAAAGAACTAAACTACCTTTGTAACCTCTCCTTCAGCCAAATGACCACATGGTTTAATCATTTGCACAGTTTTTAATTGCTGCTAACTTTGATTCTAAAGTTAATAAAAATAATTAAGAAGTTTGTCCCTTAACTGTCTCAGTTTTAGATCACTGGCATTAAAGAGTTAATTAACTGATTTAGTGATTCCAATGGCAGGAAGCCGATAGTCTAAATGGTTAGCTGAACAACTGGTGAAAGAGAATGGCCTAGAATGCCATAAAACAGAACAGCCAAATAGTTTATGTTAGAAATTATGCTCCAGTTGACTCTCATCTAACTCTATTAACATAACTCACATTTATTTCTTCCTCACCAACTTATATAGATTCCCTTAGTATACCTGTAACAATCATATGAGCTGCTTCCTATGAGCGAGTTCCACATTTTCACCACTACCTAAGTAAAAAGGTTTTTTCTGAATTTCCTATCTCACATTAATGGCTGTTAATTTTGCTCTTCACCACGACTGGAAACAGTCTCTCTGTATGAAAACCTTTCATCATTTTGAATGCTTTTTCAGTCACCCCTCAGCCTTTTCTTTCCAGGCGACAAAAAAACAGTATGTTCACGTTCTAAAAGGGATTTCTGGTATCGTCCTTGGAAATGTTTTTTGTACCCTCTCTAGTACTTCTACATCCTTTTTATAAGTAAGGCAATCAGAACTGAACAGTTATAGTGTGATCTAACTCAGGCGTGATACAGGTTTACCATAAATGCTAGTGCCTGGTTTGCTCTTATAATGGTCTCAGTAATGAGTTACTACTTTCAGTGCCATATTTGTATTCTCAGATCCTTTTGTCCCTCATCTACCTCATTTAAATTATTTTGCACTTTTGTGATCTCCCTACTCTACTTATCAATATAGCTTTCAGATTTCTATGACTGAAAGTAATTGATTATATGCACATTTGTGGGGAGGTCACTGGGAAATGTTACACGCAGCACTACTATGACATTATCTAAGGCATGGCATGCATTAATTTAGCCACTTCTCTGGGAAAGCCTTCTTTATTCTCACTGCCTGTCCCATGAATGCCAGCAAAGTTGAATTATACCATCTGAATTGTCAGATCATTTTTTGTATAATTATCCATTCAAGGAGTTTACTGTAATCAAAGAGTTGAGCTGATTTGATTTAAAGTTGGGAGTTTGAACTTCCAGTGTTTTGAATTGGAACTGTTGCTCAGTTCCATTCCTGAGACAGTATAGGCTCTGGGCTGGAAGGTAGCAAACGTTATGAAGTAGTATGAGTAATTAGATTGGTGAACTGTAGAAAAGCATTACATCCTGATTGCTTTCATCCCTGGATTTTACTTAAAGACTAATTGGTGTCAACACAGTTACTCCTGAACTGGGAAAAGGAAAAGCCTCCAGGTATCAAGGTAAATGCATTTCTTTTGTTCACTATCTTACCTGATTAAACTGAAATTTTGCCAACTGAGTAAGGTATTCAAAATCCCTCTTTTTAAAATGTTTCTGAAAGTAAAGAATGGAAATATTTTAGAGTCACAGAGATCTACAGCACAGAAAAATGAGCTTCAGCCTATTGCATCTGCACCAATCTTGGATGTTTTGGTATCGCAAGTACATATTCTTAAATGTTTTGAGGGTTCTGCCTCCACCACGCTTACAGGTAGTGGGTTCCAGATTCCTACCACACCCTCGGTGAAAATGTTTTTCCTCACATCTCCTCTAAACCTTTTGACCCTTACCTTAAATCTATGCCCCTGGTCACTGATTTCTGTATTAAGGGAGAAAGTTTCTTCCTGTCTATCCTATCTATGACTCACATAATCTTATACATCTCAATCTCGTGCTCTCTTAATCTCCCTTGCTCTAAGGAGAACAACCACATTCTGTCTGATCTCTCTTCATAACTGAAATTCTGCAGCTCAGACAACATCCTAGAAAATCTCCTCTGCACCTTCTCCAGTGCTATCACATTCCTCATATAATGTACATTCCAGAACTGCACACACACAATATTCTAGCTGTGGCTTAATGAAGTCTTATACAGTTCCAGCATAACCTCCCTTATATTAAACTCTATGCCTCAGCTAATAAGGGCAAGCATACCATATGCTTTCTTAATCCACTTTATCCACTTGTCCTGATAACTTAAGGGACTGGTGTACACGCACAACAAGGTCCTTGTGATTCTCGATGCTTCCCAAGGTTCTACAGTTGATCATGTGTTCCCTTGCCTGGTTTGTCTTACCCAAATATATCAACTCATTTATCCAACTGAATTTCATTTACCACTCATCAGCCAATCTGACCAGCCTGTCTATATCCTACTGTAATTGAAGGCTATCCTCCTCACTATTTACCACCCCACAGAGATCAAAATATAGTCGTGAGAAATCATGTATTGAACGTAATTGAGCAATGATTTTTTTTCCACTAAATTAGACATTGGATATTACATCACACAGCCTTTGAGCTAATCTTCATTCAGTTACACTTACCACTCCATCAGCAACTAAGATCATCCGAATGGCACCATGTGGACAGGATAATGCATTACGCAAGAAGGAAATCTCTGTATTTCTGAACACCTCACTAACATCAACGATCTGTTTATTTTTACAAATATAGGTTAGAAGACAGTGAACAGTACAAAAGGATTTTTAAACTTCTTTAATGTTTATCTAGAATAGTTCAAACACAAATCAGAAAAGATTTCACAGAATCAAGATTTTCTATTTTCCTCCAGATCAACTGGTGTTTGTGTTATTTTGTATGAGAGATTTAACAAACCTGGTCGCCATAAACCTGACCATCAACAATGTCGTGCAATTGATTATAAAGACAGTACTTTTTAATTGCTCTGTATTTCGGATTGTGGACTGAAATAGGCAAAGAACTGTTTTCGAAGCCAAGAATTGCTGCACTCTTTTAAAAGAAAGTTATCTGACTCTCATTGCAAGTGCTGTTTAAACAGTTGTTCGTTCAAGCAGTGGGGAAAGCCAGTTATAGACAAACTGGAGCCAGGGGTAATATGCATGAATAGAGATTTGGGTGCCAACATGTAGCTGACTGGTCTATGACATAGTGACCAGTTGTCAATGACAAAGACCTCTTGCATGCCCTTGGCTCACAAAGGGGTATGAATGTTTGGGCCAGAAGCTATCAGATCTCTGGAAGAGAAAGAGGCGATTTTGCTCTGCAGTAGAAAGGAATTCAAGCTGAAGACAGAGATAGTAAGAATTGCCGATGCTGGAGTCAGAGATAACACAGTGTGGAGCTGGAGGAACACAGCAGGCCAGGCAGCATCAGAGGAGCAGGAAAGCTGACGTTTTGGGTCAGTACACTTCTTCAGAAATGGGGAGGCGGAAGGGAGCTCCAAAATAAATAGAGAGAGGAGGGGTGGGGCTGGGG